AAAAAGAGTTATAAACACATTGCTAATATCTTTATATTGCTACTGTCAAAGCAAAAGATCGTATATAACAACTTTCCATCTTTATTCTATTAGTGCTAAAGGAGACATTTTGTAGACTGCAACTGCAATAAATAGTCTGCTAGTATGAAAAATAAAATAAGAAGAGGGAAATAAAATATGAAATTATACTAATAAATCATAAAGAAATAATCAGTTTTAAAGTTTTTCTATAAAAAAACACATTTTCGCATACGACGTTTTGCACCAACAGTAGTGATATATTGCTTCTCAAAGGCATTTTTGCCAGTATGCCATATCTTCGTCAATGCTTTATCAAATCCAATGATTGAGCCCTCACTTTGAAGATCTCCTTAAGGTGAGAAAAATAGTTTCATCCACACGAAATATCAGGAGAAAAAAAAGTTATGAAGGAAAAGAAACCTATTTTCCAATTAATTCAAAAATTGTACCTATGTTTCTTGATTTTACCCATGATTATTTGAAATATTACTAATTCTCTACAAAAAAATATACCAATTTAAAAAAAAAAAAAAAAAATATATATATATATATATATATATATATATATATATATATATATATTAGCTGAGATCCAGGCTGTTGTAATTCGTGAACATTTTGGTTTAAAACATGAATACATTTTTATAATAATATTTAATTGCTTGATATATTACAAGAACCGAAAAAATACTAACTGATTCCTTCATTTTATGATACGTTGAATTATTTAATGTCCTTTGTTGGCCAATATTCTTTGGGAATTATTCGCACGGACCAAGTAGTGGTATATATTACAAATAATAGACCTTTTTCATCCATTAATTGATTCATAAATTAGGAATCTTTCCTTCAACCCGACGGATTCCTCTAATGCCATCCTGAAACTGCAACAAGACATCAATAGAATATGCGCATGAGCAAATCTTAATAAGCTGACATTAAATACGGAGAAGACAAAAGCCATCCTGATCGGATCCCTCTCACTCCTCAAATCCATTTCAGCACCTCCTAATCTTCTTCTGAACAACTCGTCTATCCCCTTCCATACCACCGTTAAATACCTTGGCGTTACTCTCGATCAAACCCTCTCCTGAAAACTACACATATCCCAAATTTCCCGTCGAACTATATCCACCCTGAAACAGTTTAACCATCTACGTTATCTTCTTCCGTTCCAAATCCATCAACTCCTGGTTTCATCTCTTGTTTTTCCCCACTTCGACTACGGCTGTATGGTGTATTGTGGACTCTCGGGAGAACTAGAAGCTAAACTTAAACGTCTTATGAATTGTTCAATCCGCATTATCTTCGGGATCTTCAGAGATACGCATATTACCCAGTTTTACACCTAATTGAAGTGGCTTTATCCGTCCTACCACCGTTAGTATTTCCTTGCTACCTTCCTACACCAGACCATTAAAACACGGCGACCCGCCTATATTCTACAGATCCTACAATGCAAAAGCTCCTTTCAATCCCGTCACACCAGATCCCGTGCGTCCGACCTCTATCCTCCTACTCACCGAATTGCTGCGTTTGATAAATCCTTTTTAATTCAAGTTGTCTCCCTCTGGAACTCTATGCCCTCAGATATACGGCACGAAAAATCAATATCCTCTTTTAAATCTCTCCTGTTCAAACACCTACTCCATCTCCAATCCTATTGATCACGAAATGAACTTAAAAACCTAAGCTGTAAGAATTCCGAGGTACACCGAGATACTCCGATTATTTTGTGATTCATTGATATCTTGTTTACTAAAATTACTTTCTCTGTTTATTTTATATTTATACACGTTTTTATATCTTTTTATTATCTATAATTTTATTGTAATCATCCTGTAAATACTAAACTGTAGTTTACGGACACACCAGAATATTAATATACTTTCTGTATTTGTAACTTGTTCTAAAGGGACACTAGTCCCAGAATAATAAAATTATTTTCATTCATTCATTCATTCATAAATGTACCTACTCGCTGATTCTTTTTTCAGATGATAGCGTGGAATGTGTGAACATGGATAATTGGGTAGGACCCGCCAGGCAGAGGTCGCTGAGGGACCGGCTGCGGCAGGGCATAGCTGGTGGCCTATCATGGTAAGTAGGATCAGCCATACATTGCTAAATATATTTTATAAGTTAAAATCATATATAAATTTGTATTTATGCAACACAATTTGATCAACTTTTAGATCTGGTATCATTGTTCTGTAGGATACTAAATTATGGTTATTATTAATAATTTTTCGAACTTCTTTTTTTTAACGCCTTTTGACTCTTTTACTTCCGCCATAAGGCTTCTCGCAGCAGGCGATAAGCAGTAATTGTTTGATTCTTTCTTCTTATGTAGATACCTCCAGGGAGTACGTGGTTTATAATAACCGGACGCGATCACAATCACTACCTCTTCATCAGGATGGTTGGCAACCATTTTGCATACGTCTCTATCCGTTTTTTTTTTTTTTTTTTTTTGGTTTTTAGCCCTGTGCCCAACCCCCAAAATCTGGAAGACCAAAGCAGCTATATTATTGGATACAGGGGTCGCTCTCACCTTCATGTGAATCCCATACGGGAAACGAACCCGCTCTTTATTTTTTTATGTTTTATTTATTTATTATTAATTATGTATATTTTTATCTCTTTTTTGGTTATTTAATCCCGCGAATGAGACGTTTTTTTTTTTGTCTTCATATTTCCATCCACACCTGTCATGAGCTTGACAATAAGCAGATGTGCTGTAACTAATCCCAAAAATAGACATGTTAGCCATGACGAAAAAATAGTACCCAGCAGCAGGATTTATGATTTTAACGAGATTTAAATTCGTAGCATAAATTTTTTTGTAGGCGCCTTAACTCACTCGACCATCGCGGCCCATATTTTTCGAACTAATATTGTTATAAATTTTTATCTTACTTTATAATTTCCTGAAGTCATCTTAGGCCACCTCAATTCGAGCTTTCTTGACCAGTGATAAATATTTAATGTCTTTCGACCATAATACTCTGACATATATATAACGAATTTATTGTTAGCATATGTTTACTGTTTCAAGAAAAGAGGTCTTTTCTGTATTCTCAACTAAAGACCAACCTTTCCTCTTGAGCCAAGTACCCTCAATATTTCTCCAAAGATGTGTGCACAACCCCTCTCCCCTCCCTCTCTAAGCCACTTACCCCTTTTTCATTTATCAAACTCTCCAAAATTATACACACAAATTGAAAATCTAGAACTAATTCATGTAACATTAGTTAAGATCATATATAGATAATATAAGTAGTTTGTAAGAACTACTTTTAAATGTTAATTGAAGATTTTATTTAACTTGTGTTCGCCAAGTGGTCGAAACATATCAAAATAACGAGATTAACTAAATATTTTTTAAGCTACTTTTTTTCTAGATTTTGCGATCAAATTACCTTATGATTCAAGTGGAAAGCAAATGAGTGTTCATGAGGTTTTATCAACTCTTAAAATTGACCTGTTTACCGATCTCCAGATAGGTTTCTGAAGAATTTGCGCAGTTAAATAAAATTTCTGACAATTTTCGCTGATAAAATGAATTACTCGCGAAGTTTGATAAAACGGTGATGTACCGCGGACTAATTGTTTACGGGATCTCACAGAATGATTTGAGCCATTAAACATAAACTCGTTCAGCCCGTTCATTTAAAAAATCGTTAAATATCATTTAACGCACTGATCAAATTCACGTTATAAACTAATTTTCCATGTTTTAAACTTAAATTGTTTAAGAAAAGTCCAGATATCTCAAAGAATAATTTGAGCTATCAAAGAACAAAATCGGTTGAGCCGTTCTTAGGGTACTTTTTTTAAAACTCCGAAATTAATTGCATGAACTATGCAGTAATTTAGAAAATTATTCATTTTTACTGGTCTACTTTGCTTTGGCTGCGGTGATAGCATGAAGTATCGGTATTTTTCCACAAATTAGTTACTATTTTATAAAAAAATTATCTGAGAATGTCTCAGTAAAACATTTTCAGTAGACCATCTCTTCCTCATCTATTGATATTAACTCCTATGACACTGTTTTAATAATCAGTGGTAGAACGTATCCAATATACACGAATTATTCTGAAGATTACATCTTTACGCAGGTCGAAGAAGAATATCGTTTCGTAAAGAAAAATGAATCTTAAGGGAAGTCAAACCTAATGCTAGGTCATAACAATAGTCTATAGAGAGATACTCAAGATATGAGTCAATATCTAGTTTGTTATTAAGCAATTTACAATAATTAGTGGTAATAACAATTTGCTATTTACGAATATAACGGATCGTTTAATAGCTCAACTATGAGAATCTTAATGACCAACTGGAATTGTTGAATCCATAGAGGTATGATATTCAATTCAGCTACAGATTATCAGTTGATGCTGTTGCTCCTTGGACTGGATGATTACTATTACTGTAATTTCCCGCAGATTGCTGTTGGCAGGATGTCGGCTTTGTTTTCTTCCGCATCGTTTCTATCCAATGTGCCCTATCTAATAGCTCTTCAATAGTTTCTTCTTTTACGTTTCCTTTTTATCAGGATAAATATTTTCAAAAGTCCATTTTGTGACGATTCAAACAATATATATTTTCTTCTTTCAATATTTAGTTGTACCTGCCAACTGTATTATGTTGACAATTAATAAATGAGTTGTATCTATTCCTGTCATACATATTGTTACAAGGTATACAGATTTCAACAGAAAAAGTATTTTTTTCAAAAACTTTTTTAGAAAATAAAATGACTATCTATAGAGTAAAACAAAAAAAGTAATTACTCAAAAATTACTTTTGCCTTGACACAGGCATTTAATCTCCGTGGCCAATCATTCACAGAAGCATGCAGCACTCCTCGAGGAAAGCGTTCACAGAGATTGAGGCTTTCCAAGTTAGGATGTGCTCTGTGACATGCCATACTCTCCAGTTCGGACTAAAGCCGATAATCTAGTGGGGTGAGATCAGGGCTTCCTGAGGCCCACTCCGAGGCAGAGATGAACTACGGAATCTGCTGAGTTGACGTGGACTTGTGAGCTGGAGCGGAATCCTGCTGGAAAACTGGAATAACTTCCAGAAAACAGAGTATCATTTAGAGGCTTGACAACAGATACCAAAATATCGTCCTGATTAGTTTTAGTTTTTAGCGGCTCTTTTAACTCCTTTTTCACAAAAATGGAGCTTTGTGGTGCGATCAAAGCAAACTCTTCACCAAATCACTGAGGAAGGATGATAACCTCTTTCTACTCTTCCAATGACTTCTGGGCTTCTTAAGAGCTATGTGCGTACACACGATCGCTTTGAAGATTACATTTTTCTTCAATTGTAAAAATTTTATCATCGCCAAACAAAATCTTTCGATGAAGACCATTATTGTAACGGCCAAAGATCACTTTGCAATTTATCCACTCTAATTTATATCAGGGAAGTGGTTAACCTTTGTCCTGTCATCTTCCGAAATGCACCTATCCTTTGGTCAATTTTTATTAAGAAAATAACCTGATCTATCTACCTCTAGGTTAGAATTATTTAAACAAAACCCAAGGATGTAAACAAAGTTCAAATTTTGCAACAGTATTAATGACAGAGCTCTAGGTACATACAGAAAATAATGATATGTCAGGCATGGGGAACGACAGCATTCAACAGCACCTCTTATCTGTTTTGATTCATTTACTTCAGTTGTTTAAAGGAGATGTCTAATCCAATACCTTTTTAGACTCCTCCTTATATTCAGGAATATATCATCTGTAGCCATGTCTCTGATTAGACTGTTGGTATGCTGATTTAAATTTTTGTTGGTAATGAGTGTTCTTCAACTATTGGCAAGTAATCAGTATGTAGTGTTTTGATAGTCAGGCACCAAAGTGATTTGGAAATGAGCCTTAATCATTTTGATTGGACTGGGATTTTTATAGGTTGTTTTTTTTCGACAATACATCTTCATTCTTACTTAAATCCATATGGAAATATTTATTGAAGATTGTGTCATTTATAATATGATTTTTTGTATTTATTTTTTGCACATATTGGCAAAAATATCAAGAGACTTTAGCAAATCTACTATTGTTATGAATAAGAAGCAGGGTGATTATGTTATGACTTATAATAAGTTTAATGGGAAGGTTTAAAGTTTTTGTAGATAGGTCTTTTTGGCGATATCGTATCTCTGCAATGAGGATGTCCATATAGGTTAATGCAAATATCTGATATGTGTTCAGTTTTGAAAATTTGGAAAAAGTGGGTAAAGTATATTGAGTTGTTTATTAAATGTCTTCCGTATCATTTAAACCCGTGTGCCCCATGTCTTTCTCATATCGTAGGTAGGTAAAACTAAAGGGCAGGCATTTTTCAAAGAGTAAATGTATAAGTTTGGATGTATTATAATTTAGTCGAGTTTTCCATAATTTGATAAGTGATTTTGTGAAGTCAGGAACGCTTTCGTGGGATCTTGATGTTTTGTGAGAATGGTTTTGGGACGGATAATGGGTGATTGTGTACCCTAATTCTAGTAAAGAATCAGAAATAATTATTAGCCGTTAGAAAATTTCGAAAAAAAAGGAGTTTTAAGAGTCATTTATTAGTTTTCTGCCTTTTAAATATCATTCAAAGCAAGAAGTAATGAACGATTGTAACATCTGATGGTAAAGAATAATAGCGAAGCTAGACGGAAAATATCTAAGGTACTCCTACAAAAGGAAAGATGAAAATAATAAATGGAAACCCTGAGATATAGAAAGAAATTGGAAAGATCTCTTTCTATTTAATAGCACAGAAGAGAGCAATCCACATACTCATACTGCGCTCAATAATATGGCACAATATCGCTCTACAACAGAAGGCTGTATTTTCTTGATAACTGTCCTTTCAAAGGGGCTCTTCGTGGACTCGAACTTCTCTGGCATGGATTATTGTTGGTTCGCAGAAGACTGAGGGGAATCAGCAATGAAGAAGTTTTGATCCGTATGGAGTTAGTTATACGAGCACATGTCTAAGAGAAAACATGAGACAGTTCCACACACTGAAAACTTTTACGGAGGAACTGAGGTTTCTACGAAGTCCAGATATATACTAAGAAAAATAAAAAATAAATCTAACATATACTTTAGGATTATTTTTAGAAAAATAACTAAAAATGAGTTATTTCAGCATCTGATGAACTTATGCCCCTCCCCCAATATTTGATAGTACAAAGATAATATTCAAATCAATAACAATTAATCTATAAATATAAACAATGAACTATATAACTATATAAACAATGAATGAATAAAATATGTAAACTAAAATCAATTAATAAAATATGAAATGTCGACTAGATAACTAAGCTAACGCCTAGAAGTAGTAGGTACTCAAGTATTTTATCACGCCCCATTCTCCTATTATTGAAATTCAAGCTTATATATTTATATTAAGTTTCTAATTTATATATATTTTTGATGATTTATTGCATTAATGATTTTATGATTCATTCTTGTCAACAATTTTCCCGCAAAAAATTTGAAGCATCACTTTTTGTGGTGCACTCAGCTGAGTTCATCGTATTACCTCAAACCACATGCGGATCTCCTGGGGTGGGGAGGAGGGGGGGCCTTCCGGACTGAAGGCCCTCTGCTCAAAATGGTAAAATTTAACTCTGTTTTATAGAAAAAATTATCTGATTATAAAAAGTGTTATTATTCATGTAATTAATTACGTTTAATAGGACTTCACTTAGGATAAGTATCACCTAAACACTATTTCATATAGGTTGTTAGTTTTTTATTTCCTCAAAGTAATTATCGTTATATATTTGAAAAAAAAACCTATAGGGCTGAAGCTCTTCCAAAAAAATTAAATCCTATATCCGCTAGTGCTTTAAAACTTTAAAAAAATAAAAATATGTGACATATTAAATTACTTTGTTGACATATTTTCAAATATACTCATAAAAACTATTAATATATAAACACACATACCCATATATAAGTTTATTTTGATATATAATATTAAAGTATTCGTTTAGCAATAATTAAATTAATTGTCACTCATAATTTTAAATATATTATCTCACGGGACTTTTTTTGTAAGGTGGATGATACATCGCTCTCTCCAACCTGAATAGAAAGTCAACGGGTACAACAGACATACCGTTTTTAAACCTAAAATTCGATTTTAAAACGTATCTATTAACCTTTTTTTTTACCACCTACGTGCCAACTTTGGCATACGAGGAGGAGGGGTGAAGGAGGTGTTTATTTAATAGGTACAACCAGTTGCAACTTTTTTAACTAGAGAGGGAAGGTCGAGATTCATTTAAGTATTTCAAAATCGGGTGACAGTTAATGAAGAATTATTTGTCAAAATTAATTGTAGAATTGGCTCAAGAAATTTTTTGTTTTTATTTACAACATCCCGTTTGTTCAAACAAATAATAATATAGGAATGCTCAAAAGTACAAAAGGTAGATAAAAATAATAATAAATTAATTGAAGTAATCAATGGGTAGATGTTCACACACAAGTTATATCACACTGTTTTATAGTATTACTTCACATTATCTTGTTGCATGGTATGAATACAATTGTAAATTTCTCTAAATAAAAAATAAATTATACAACTTATCTATCACTATACTAAATATTTTGATTCGGTACATAAATTGATTACTCAGCGGTAGTAAAACTCTATTTTTAGGAAAAAAGAATAAACTACCACGTTTTGTGTTTTAAAAATATCCCAACAACTGGAAGACTTAGTGGGCTAAAATGGGAGAAAATCTGTTGTAGGACTTCAAGTAGGAAGAAGCCATTCAAGTTTGCATTCCTGTTTAAACTGTTAGCTAAACCTTTTTCTACTCCTGGCTAAAACGGGAAAGGCAGACTTGATAATTTTGTTTAACTCTAATCCCTTTGACAGAAAGTTAAGGGTCAGTTGAGAGGGAAGGGTTCAGTAAAGAAAAAAAAAAGACACTACTTTAAAAACGTGCCTCGCCTAAAATATTTAAACAGCTAGTAATTCGTTACGGTGTTCAACTGAAGGATGCATTAATGGTAATTTATATTTCAGTGAAAATAAATCTTAGTTAAAATACTATATTCCATAAAACTGTTATCATCGATCCTTAGCTATATGTTTTACTCTAATTTTTAACATATCGTAGAGTTTTTCTTATATTCTCAAATGATGAAGAGTATGGACAGAGTTTAAGATAATTACTTTGTTTCACTTTTTTGAGTAATATTACATTAGGTCACATTATAGAAAACCGGTAATGAGCTAAGAGTTCATTCACATATTTAAAAAAGGACGTGGAGCCACTGTCGTTTCAACCTCCGTGGAGGATTATAGGGATATGTTGATAGAAGGTAAGAAGCATCTTAAAGATGGAAGGAATACCCCAAAATATTGATGAATGTACATAAATAAAAAAAATTATTTTCACGAGGATATGTCATTAAATAATTATTATTCTTACAGATCCAATATTATTATATCGAAATAATAAATATATAAATAACCATAATTAAATTAATAATAGGAACTGGAGGAGAATCGTCCACGAGAGTAGAAAAATGCAAATACTTCGTAACCACAAGAACCCTAATGAATGACCAACGCTCAGAAATAGACAAGCGTAAACAGAGCTTTCTTCTCCCTTTCAAAGATATTAAAAAAGTCTAGTCCTCTTAGTAAATATGCGTGTGAAAGTTCACAATGCCCAATTCTTAAGCGGCAGAGGATTCTCTTTTCTTTACTCTAATAACGGTTACTAGTTTTCCATTTGGAACAGTGGCTTTTTATTCCTTTTAATTTGGTTTATTTTTGTCGCCATACGTTCTGCCACATTACCCGCAAATTTTTTTTATATACTGTATAAAATCTTCTATCGGGAATTTGTTAATTATAGCTGTTTTGTATACTGTAAGCGAGGAAAATTTCCAGCATTTAATCCTATTTATAATGAGATGATTTCACTTATATCGAATAGTATAAAGCATACACCTTATTTTTTTTAGAACTAATAGGCACTAATATAGTCTAGAGATCACAAATATGACAGTCACTAGGCTAGGGAAAAATCAGAGGAATTGGAGCATAGTGATGACTACACTGTCTTCCTAGAATGAAATATAAATAAAGTTGATTACCTCTAGGCTTGCTTCTTTATATTATCTGATATTTTACTCTAATTACTCGATCAGAATTAACATAT